CTCGCACGGGGCTGGGCTCACACGGGGCCGGCTCGGGCTCGCACGGAGCCGGCGATGCCGGCTGGGCTCGCACGGGGCGGGGCACGTTATGGCCCAGGCCCGCACAAGGCCGGGCCCGCACGGAGCTGGGCTGGCACGGGGCCGGGCCCGCAAGGAGCCGCGCTCGCGAGACCAGGCTCGGGCTCGGGTTCGCGAGGCTGATTTGTCCGAAGCATGCAAGACGGGGCCGAATCGGGCTCGCGGCGGAAACGGCAGCGGCGAGCCCTCTCGGGTTCGTGGCTTGGCTTGCTACTCTGGCGGGCTGTGCCAGGTATGGCCTCGGGTTACTGTACACGCGTAAAGGCTTTCACATCTTAAAAAAATCAAATGCAACAACAACAAAGAACAGCGCTCACTCTTATTCTCGTTCGCGTTCGGCGTTGCAACTCTTTGAGCCTCTCAGGCTGCTTGAGTGTTTTCTTCTCTCTTTCTCGTTTTCAAAATAGTCAAGGAAGCTAAAAAAATCTTGTTGCAGTAAGGAGGAACTTCCTAGCCCACTACATTTGCCACGTGGGGTCCAGAGGAGCAACTTCCCTAGTTAATTTGTTGGAAGGTATCTAGTCGAAAGAAAAATCACTACTATAATTTTTGTTCTAGGGAATCACTACTAAAATTTTTCATCGAAGAAGATGATGTAGTTGACCAAGCAAGTACTACTACACCTACGGCCCTCTAGTTGTTGTCTCTATCGAACAGCGAGTTTTGAAAAATCAAATGCTAATATTTCCTCTTCCAACATAATTGACTCGTAGCTGCACGCCCAGCTCCTTTCCGAAGCCTAGGCATAACCCTAAGTCCTCCGCGTTCGCGTGACTAAACAGTAGAGTATCCCTGGCACCAATGTCAAAGTAGTAGCCGGCGATGCGATCCCCCAGTCTCGTCCGCAGGAGTACGAAGGACTTGCTCTCCGACGTCTCGTATGAACATTGTGGTGGCTGAAACAACACGGTGCGCATTGTCGAGCTCCATCTTGCTCCCATTTTCTTGGCTTAAAAGTTTTATAGTTTTGGTCGGCGTTGTAAAGGTATTAACCATGTTGTGTCACAATGTAGCCGTCACTAGCAAGATTGTTATAGGAAAGTTCGGGAATACGAACTCAATTTTCTCAGACGGGTTGAAATGTAAAACAATGCGAGATACAAGACAGACTACTTGCAAGCTGCCACTAACCTTGCGCAAAACGTCTTGAGCAATTTCCTTGACCGCTCGCGCTTGTGGTGTTCATTCCATTTTTACCAAGACCGTGATGGACACGTGAAAACAACCTGAGAATAGACAGCGTCCACCTACACGCTGACGCTGGTGCAAATCAAGTTTGCGCCTTTGTTTACTTAGGTAATATTGGCAGGAACGTTGTACCCTTCCCGCTGCACGCAACCTTTTGCCTAGTGTCAACGAAAAAGTAACAAATTTTGCAGCACGAGTTCTTGGAACGTCCTAACCATGTCTAATCAATGCAGCATCACAAGCCATGCGTCATGTCCAGTGCGAAAAAATCGAAAAATTCAAGTCCTCAAGAACTACTTCGGGAATGGAGGCGGAATCTAAATACTGATCGCTTACACTAGGTCTATTTCAAACTTCTAAGATTGGAAGTTTGGAAGATAGCTATCAGACACTTCTGCACTTTCTCAAAAAAGAAGATGCCAACGCCTACCAGCAGACGCATCTCGACGTTAGCAAGCGTGACGCTTCAAGAGCTTCATCGCTTCTGGCCATTGAGTTCCCGGATCGCTTTCTGTCTTTTCCTTCTGCTGCCCGACGAAGATTTCAGGGCGACTGCCGTTCCGTTTCCGCGCCTGAATCCACTTCCCGTCGCATTTGGTTGTGCATTTTTCGAAAAATTTGACGCGCGGGTCCTTGTGGTTCACGATTCGGACCTTGATTAGAGAGAAGTTCCGTGGACGCATCAATTCCAAAACTCGCCACATGCACAGACGTCTATTGCCCGTCCCCGAAAGGAAAAGCTTCTCATTTGCACAAACAGAAGCTGCGTCCTCACTCGGTTCCGCGAGAGAATCCAGAATGCTCTTGTTCGGATGTCGCACGGGGAGACCGGAGCTGGTGTCGACGTATTCACGGAACTCTGCCTTGATTGTGTCGTGGGTAAAGTGGATGTCCAGCGGCGATACCCAGAAAATGGAGCCAGCCTGTGCTTTGCGTGGCGGCAGGCGCTCGAACACGTCAACACCGGTGACGAGGCACTGGCGTCGCTTTGTCCTCGGGTTGAGGCTCACCTGGGTTTTTCGCCTGATTTTGCCTCATTTCCTTGTAGCCGGTGAAGCAGGAGATCGTGAAGGAGAAGCGGAGGTTTTTCCGTCGAACGGACTATCTCTCGTCGCGTGTCGCGTGGCGTCGCGCATCTCCTTTTGACGCCCGCCGAGATCAAACATGTAGTCGCGATGCTTCAAGGCGGCGTCGATCTCTCCCTGGACAAGAATTTCAGGATGGACGAATGGCGCAGCCGCGAAGACGTCTGCCGCTTGCTGCTCTGGACCCGTTGTTTGGGGTGCAGAGCCAGAGGGATCAGGGGCTCCCAGCAGTCTGCTTGAGGTATGATGCGACGGGAGCATTATCCAGTGGCAGATGGCTCCAGCGAGCAAATGCCCAGAAATTTTCGCGTTACCGGATCCTATATCGGCTGGAGACAGGAGAGCGCAGTGTGTTGCTAGCCGTCTGTTTGCCATTAGTGTGTTGCAAGCCGAGCATATGAAATTGTAGTCTTCTGTGCCAGTAGTTGCGAGAAGGCTGCAGTGCGGTTCTGCTTGCTGCAAGTACTCTGCAAACTTTTCAATACTCTCCTGCATATCGTTTTTGAATGGGTACATCTGGCTGATCATCGCAAAGCGGTTACTCTGCGGTGGAAAAATCTTGAGCATTTCTGCAAAAGGCAGATATTGATAAGCAGTAGGTTCCGCAAGAGACGAAGAAGAAGAAGAACTCCCCTCCCCGATGGGGTGGGGTGCTAGGCTTTTTCGCAGCTGGATTCTTGCGCGCCGCCGTATCGACTCTGGCAGGAAGTTGCGCTCCAGTCGCGGCAGATGGAGAGGTTTCTGGGCGCGAAGCGACGACGTGGATGTCGTGCACTGCATTCTTGACTGACATTCGGCAGTTGAGAGGATTGACCAAATAGCAATCGCGTTCGTCGGTCCCCCAGTCCGCATGCACCAGGAGGTGAACACAATTTTGTCTGTCTACTCGGATGCCTTCAACGTACCCGCGATTATGAAAGCGCTTGAGATTTCGCAACCACGAAATTTTCAGGAACAACTCCTGTTCAGTTGCTGCGTCTCTGACTTGCGTAAGATTGCCAATGCCCGCCGCACCGGTCGTTACTGCCAGGGAGTTTAGTTTCTGCGCTGCTTTTGCGAAAGTTTTCTGCAAACGCGATGCCATGCGCTTTACTCAACGGGATTGACGAGAATGCCCAACGCTGATCTACCCGTGCTGCGTTCAGACCAGGCAAAAACGATGTCCCCTAACGCGTTGACGGTCACTGCGTGCATTGGCGGAGGATGGGCAATTAGGCGTCCAGCAATTATATCCCGCAACCAGCCCGCAAGGTCTGGACATTCGGACTCATCCCTCATGCAGACAAGTATGAGTCGCTGCAGCTCGACAATCTGTTCGCTTGTGAGATCGAATAGGGGCCACGTGGATGGTCTGTCATCATCAGAAAAAAAAGGCGGAGATCCGCACGGGAAAAAAACGCAGGCGTTTGCCCTTCATCCGAGGTCGAAGGAGCTGTGCGAAGGCGAGTCATCATTGCTATCCAGCTCTTCGTCATCGATCTCGTCGTCGTCGTCGTCATCACTTTTTGTACCAGAGGATGACGCGGTGACAAAACTTTCATCACCATACCCATGCCCACGCGCTTTGGCGTTTCCTCCTCGAAGCACTCGGTTGACTACATCTACCCTACTGGATTCATTTCGTTCGCTGGGCTCTACAAGGAAATTTTTGGAAAACTTTATTTTCTTCAAAGAATACGTGCTGTTTAAGACACTCGCTTGTGCAGTACACTGCCAACTTGCATCCATCGCAGACCACGGGAGCTTCGACTGCATTTTTTAAACAGAAGAAGCACTCCACGTAAGGGGGCGGTGCCGAATGCAACAGAGATACATCCGGGTCAATCGCCATGATGAGTAGAATGAATTAGAGCTAATATTACAGTAGACCTATTAGTTACCAAAGGAAAGCATACAGGCGAATATTTCCTACAAGAGACCCTGCCTTCAAGGGTTTTCCTCGCATTGATTTCCCGTTCTCATACTTTTAGATTCTCTTCGCAGCTTCTGAAGGAGTCTCTCGAGAGGGAAAGACTACAAAGACCCACTTTTTTCCGATCATCACCATCGGTTATGTCCGTCTAAGTAGGCAGACACGAATAATTTTTCGCCTGGTCGTGTGGTTATAGCGACAAAATGCCACAGGGTTGTGCTGCCATACGCTTTACGAATTTCCGGAACACAGAAATTCATGTTAGGAGGAACAGAGTAGAAGTAGTTCGACCTAATTTCACGAGACTGAAAGTCAATTCCAACAACTTAAGTAGTCCCATTTAATTTCAAGAGCCAACGAATCATTAAATCAAGGTCGCAAATTGAAATGTTAATATCACGCTTGTCAGATAGTTCATTCTTGTCAAGTAGGGATAGTAAATAGGAAATCAGCCACAGTAGAGGGTAAGTGCTGCTTTAGTTCCAAGGTGTTAGTTAATTTCAGGATTTTCAAAAAAAAACTACATTGATGAGCTAATACATCAGGTGATTGAATCATCTTATCAGGTTTAGGTTCGAGTGACAGTAGTTGCAAAAATCGGAGACTTTACGACTGAAGCATTTAAGAATACTGGAACATTTTGTGCAAAATCAATTCCCAACATGAGTAGCGTAAAAACAGGATGAAATGCTCTTTGCACTGTGACGTGCCCGGCGATCACAACGACCATATCAGATATTTTCTACACATGTTTTCATGAGGATCCTATGCACGACGGAGATATACTTTTATCACTCTATTCTCCTCAACTTTCTTCTTTCCCCCCGAGATATGTCTAGTACTTACTCAGTTGTACTTACAACTTACTTTTGGCTCGGCATTTTGCTCGCATCATACTGCATTGCGTTGCGTGACCCTACGTTTCCGCCATAGTAGGACGAGTCGTATCCAACATAGGAGTTGAATTGGTCCTGTACTGTGTTGTCACCCGCGATATTTCGGTCTAAGGCGCCGTGTTTTCGGCGCTGCGTGTCTGACGGCTCGATGTGGTCCATTATGCGTCCACCGCGCACCTGCTTCGGCCAACCATTCTTCGCCATGCCTTCGGGTATTGGCTCGTACCGAATCTTGTGCGTACTGGCGTCGTACTCACCTGTGACGCATACGAATACATGGTTGTACTTAAAATATGCGACGATATACATATTTTCTGATTCGATAGACGTATTTTTCTGATTTTGAATACACGAAGTAATAGGTCTCAGTACCTCTAGGATCGAGTGTCTTGCATGCTGACGATGATGCTCGGTCCGCATTCAAGTTGAACGTGCCCACCTGAGTTGAAAGGTGAGCTGTTGCTTACAAAGAAATCCTCAAGTTCAATTTTGTATAAAAAGAGTATCGCTCACGCGCGAATACTCGCAATAATGTGGAAGTGAGACGAGCAATATTTTTTTCCTATGCCTATATGGAGACAATAGATTGATTCTATAAAAACCATGTAAAAGCCGATGTAGATGAGAAGTAGTCGATTTAGGCTTACCTGCGGTCCCACATTGAAGACTCTATTTCTTGTGCAGCTGAAGCCTTCGGTTAGATTTCGATACTCCTCTCTTGAAACGTCACGAGGCTTCATCGCATAAGGCACACCCCTATCTTCGAGCACCATCTTGTCGAGTTTTCCTTACTAGGGCGGCAGATGGTGAACACGTGAATTGATTCGACAGTTCCTATGATTTTTGAATCAAAAAAATGAACAGTCATGTAATCGTACACGAGGAGAATTTTTGATGAGATGCGAAACAGTCACTTATCTAAAGGTTTAATTAAAACGGTTGGGTCTCAAAACGTTAGAATTTTCTTGAACATACAAATATTGATTCATCTGGGGATATTTACCATAGTGCGAAAGGAGTGTTGTCATGCAATAGGAGGGAATTCCCGGTCGCTCTTTCTCTCGCAAAACGTTACGATGAATTGCCACTTGAAGATACAAGAACGCCGACACCATGAATGACCGAAATTGAATGTCCTAATACTGACTTCTCGATTTGCTTCTCTAGGATTTCAAAATCGTTGCCGATGTACACCGATATGGACAATCAGGCACAGGCATAGGATAGACAGATCCATCGAGTGGTAACACAGACAAAATTCAACACCGACTTGCCCCCTCCTCCACTACATGCATGCGAAAGACACTGGGATCTGCAAAAAGAGTCTGCTGCCTTCAATCAACAAACGGCTAGCGAGCACAACATGAAGTCGTCTATAGCTCTAATAACATTTTTTTTTCTCCCGCAGTCAATGTGGTTGCGAATAACAAAAGAAATCTGGCTCGTTAGATATGCTTGCATCTGCCAATGCATCAATGTACCATCCTCGAGTTCGGTGTCTCAGTGGTTTCACAACCTGTTGCAGTGGCTGCTTTTCTTACACTGGCTGACACCTACTTACTTAATTCGCCAAGAATTGTATCATGCTTCTGTGATCTCCTGAAACAAACATCAGAAGTGGTCACTCCTCCAATTCCTTTTCCGCCGCCTGCAGTTGGTGCATCGCTAGATTTACGCGGTGATGCGCGATCGCAGTGAGCGCGCTGCGTTGTCCGAGCCACAACCGACTGTCGTCCGCTCCCTCATACAGTCGTTGACTCAATTCTTCTGCCGACTGCGGTAATTGGGTTTTGAAGCACGAACAACATCGAGTTAACAAAGAGCTCGAGCCACAGCAAAAGACTTTGCGAAAGACAGCTCGGACCTTCTCGGGAATACAACTGCTAAGATATCGACTACTACAGCATGATGCGGATCCACTGTAATTCATTTGATCGCTTTTGCTTTGATGCAGTTTTACCTTTTCTTCTGCGAGATCCAAGGATGGACCGCCTACTTCCCCAGCTTCCAACGCGTTCATGACTAGTTGCGTCTTGATTTCTTCTTCCGAAAGCTCGTTTTCACTGCCGCTAGAAGAGCCGGCTCCAAAAGAGTTCGATTCGTGATCTTCGATAAAGAACTGTGTCTCCACCTCACCACGACCTTGTTGTTCTTCATCTTCATTTTGATCATGCTTTTGTGCTGCTGGAGAAGAAGAAGTTGGTGTAGAATCTGTAGTATCCAGGAGTTGTTCGTGATCAACATTACGTGTTGTACAACTTTGTCTGCCTTTAGGGCAGATTGTTCCAAAAAACGAGGATGAACTCGACTCAGGAGCGGACACCAGTCGCATAGCGCGACTGCGAGGACGCGGTTGAACCGGAGATGAAGTCGACCACGTGTTTTTTCTACGCTCCAACAGTGCTGCATTTAACAATTCTGTCCGCACGCGCGTCTTGTCTTCCTCCAGCAGTGATAAATACAAGTTGTACTTGTCCCCCGTGGACTTCGCAAGAGCATCATGCGCTTCGAGTAGGGACAGGACCAGTTGCTGTTGCTTCTTCAGCAACGCGCGAGTCTTGTCCTTCGCGCAAGAGGAACACTCGGCCTTCATCTTGTGAAGCAGCGGAGTAGAAGCGGTATTGCCAGTGATTGTTTCCAGCGTGATCGTCACATTCTGCATCCCTCCGCTGTTTGCAGGGGCTGCGCAATGGAAAAGTATTTTTGTCGAGTAGAAAAAGTTCTTGTCATCGCGTTCCTTGAATAAGTATACTAATCCTCGGATCACCGCGGTCGCGCTTGTCGTACTAATGAAACAAATCTATTAGGACAACAACGGTCTAGTCAAAATGCAAAAAAACCCTGTAATCACAATGAAAAAAAACTCCAAGCCTAATTTTTGCTACCTTGTTCCGCAACACCGCCAAGCGCTCCAATACCTCGACTCTGCACAGCGAATTGTGGCTGAGGAGGTGGCACACCAGGACCGGACGGCTGCCCTCCATGCGGATTACTTAAAAAAGCTGGCATCATCGAAGGTGCTTGTCCTGGAGCTAGTGGTACTCCTTGTTGTGCTGATATTGGGATCCCAGCGGTGCTTGGTGGGCGTGCTGATGGGACTTTTGGAGTGCCGCCTATGCCGCCAACAAATTGCGGGACCGGGACAGACGGGACTATCGGATCCGAGGCAACCACGTCTTCCAGATTCAACTGTCCAGAGGCTAGCTGCATTCGAATGCGCTCTATGTCCAGACGATTCGCCGCACTCCATTGATTCTGGCCACCATTCACGGTCGAAGGCAAGTTTTGTGCACCAGCATCAGAAGGTGGAGTGCTAGTACCAGTACCAGGAGCATTACCATTTCCTCCTCCAGTTGGCGCACCTCCCGCGAATGCAGGTGGCTGTAATACAGGTTGTGTTTGTGAAGATATTATCTGCGGCACAACGACAGCCGGGCTTTGTTCAGGTAGCTGTTGTGGAACGGCTGACAAACTTTGTGGTCCAACGATGTTGCTGGGTGCAAAGTTGTTAACTCCGGAGGCTTGTGGAGCCGATATCGGTAGTTTTTGCCACTGATTTGCATAGGCCTGCCACTGCTGAATCTGGTAACGCAAAAGCTTTAATTTCTCTACGGAAGCTTGTAGTTCCTTGAACTGTTGTGTCATCGCTGTGTCCTTCGGGTCCTTCACGTTGCTAGCAGAATAGAGACCCGACAATGTCAAGGCGACGAATATTAGAATTAACGCCTCGACCAAGAGAAAAAAACCGACAATCACTAGATCTTTCTCGGCACCATTGGTAATTGAAAATCGTCGATGTATCATACTCCACTAAACAAGATGAAAACTTTGTCATTGCCCATTGAATGTCTCGTGCCACTTCATCTGCCTTAAAGAAATATGTGGTGCATATTCTTGTGCCTTTTCGAGCAAAGTCCGATAGTCGCCTCCACTACCCAGGTAGTACGACAAGGCCATCAGAAAAATTGTCGGTAACAGCTGATTGTTACCCACCATGCTCTGAACCACGCGACACATATGCGAAGCAGCTTCGGTCGACAAATTTCCACTCGCCGCTGTTCCGTCACCTGTAGTTGCAGCCTGGTGCGCAGCCGCCAACGCCGCGATACTAGCTGTGATGTTTGGAAGTTGTTGCGCGACAGGCATTTGTGGTGCAACACCATTTCCCACGACGGCTGCATTACCAGCATTCCCTATGCTGAGTCCCGGCGCATGTAAATTATTCAGCGGTAGATTATTTGCGACCGGCAATGACGCCCCAGGCACGAAAATTGTTTGCCCCGTGGGCAGCACGTTGCCACCACCGGAACCACCAGATCCTTGGTTACCGAAACCATTGCCGTTTGCCAAGAAAGCCTTTCGACTTTCCGCTATTGCGATGAAACTCAGACCCACCGCAAGCATGAACATTTTCCTGCTTTAGGAGTTTTTTGGTGGTCCATAGAAAAACGGAATTCTCTCAGGACGTCTCTGTCTCGCTCATTCGAAATTCTTGTCGGCATAGTCCTGTTGAGTGCTAGCTGATACCGAAGTAACAACAGAACAATCGTTCGGAGGAACACGACATTACGTCGACGTTGCTTACAAACTGAATCATTCCATGGTGTTTTCTTTGCCATGCAGATTAAACAATTTCTACATGCTTACCACAACAACATTTACCTAGTAGCTGTGCAAGGTTTTTCGTGCGTCAGTTCCGGACATTGCTGTTGGAACTGACACGCGTTCGACGGTTTCTGGTGTGCCATTTCCATCGGAAATAGAAGCTGTCACGTAGCTAGCGGGAAAAGTTGTTATAATGTAGCGAAAGACATATCTTCTTTATCATTCCGTTGCGAAAACGTTTCAAGCTAGCACCACCAATAACTTTAAAGAAGAAGAGACAAGCTAGTGCATTGAAACCTAAACTCAAGACACTCTCTCGCGCATACGAGCAACACGTGTGCGGTGACTTCGATGTCTCAACTAGTGTTGTTTTAGGTCTTGTTCACAGAAGCAATGCCGTCTTTCCTTCTACGATAAATATATTTCTGCTTTTCCGAAACCAAATCAAATATTGTAATAATACCTACGAAAACAATTTTCTTCAAATACGAATTGCCACGAATTGCCTGTGCTTGAAAAAGAAAGCACCCATCCCTTCACTTTCTGGTTTACGTATTTACTTCTACAGAATAAAATATGAGAATAGCGATAGCCAAAATGTTCAAAACAAATATTTCTTGCAAATATCTTTCTCTTTGTCCAAATACCATGTCGAAACGCGAGAAACAAACCACTCAGTAACATAAAACAAGACACAGTCGTCCATCTATTCAGCAACGCGCAAAATTTGATGCACGTGCACATGCTTCATTGCGACTTAAGATATTGTTCGGTATAAAGACCATTTTGCACAAGCGAAACCTCTGCACCATTGAAATCAAGAGATCTTGAATCTTTACGCGGAAGCAGTAGAAGGATGATATCTCCGAATGGTCACGGACATTCTCGGCTCCCTCGCGTGTTTCGTTTTCGGCACCGCATGCTTCAGTTCGGATTGAAACTTGCCACCCATGATAACCAGAGCGCCATTGGGAATTACTTCGTCAAAGACAACAGTCTTTTGGTTCTCCGGCAAGTTCATCCGCACCTGAAATCGGCGTTCCAGACCGTACGACAGGGTTATGATCGGCACGTCATGGTCAATAGTTGTTTCGCGATCAGCGTGGAATCCTATGTAATGCTCCCCATGCTCGTACCAGTTCAAAACACAAGCGTTGTGCAGCTTCTCCGTTGTCCTCTGGTCTACTGTCGTGGTATTATCGCCCTTCATGATTTCTGATGTTGCAGCCTCCTGCGGCTCTTGCTGAGTACGCATCGCGGCTGCACTCCGAGAAGTACTGGATGAAGTAGTAGTTTTGTGAAAAGAACGAGATGAACCTCCAGACGACTTTTCGGAAGTGATTGGTGCTTGCATAAACTTCTTCCGGAACTCCGAAGAATTGACCAACGCTAATGCATCTCGCATCAAGCGGTGCAGCGTTTTCGTGGCTGCACTCATATGGCCCTTCTTCGTTGTTTCCCTCGCTCTGTCATGAGTTTCCGTTTCCGCCTGAATTGGCTCTGCAACGAAGGTTTTGCCACTCACGCGCACTTTGATGTGGTCTTCCTCCATGCCGTAGAGGCGGTTAAATCGCGGAACGAAGACGTCCCGCCCGTACATCGTAATCATATCCTGCTGTTTGGGTTTAGCCTGCCACGCATTTCCGAAAGCCTGGCCCATTTCCCCGGCTTTGTTCTTTTCGCTCACTTCCCAAACCGCCGAGCCCTTTGGCAACAAAGATTTCGGAATGATTCGTAACCAGCTGTTCTTCGTGAACTGAAGTGTGCGGACTGAATCCGCCTGACCCTGATCGTGCTCCCCCTCCTGTTTGCTTTTATGTTCATGGTGCTTCAACATAGTCGTCATATTTCTTCTGTTAGACTGACTTGTCAGGCGTCCAGACGAAGTGCTTGCCGCGGTCGTCTTCTTGACCCCCACAGCTCCGTGCCTGCGCATCCCGCATCCGGCATTTTTGGTGGCGACAGTGCGGCGCATCACTTTTGCCATCGTCAGGTTGAGTTTTGTCATCACTTTATCTCTATAGAAAGACGGCAAACAGCTATTCGGTATGCGGTAAATTACAACAAGGAGCGACTACCTGTATGATCACAAAAAAGGACTGAAGGAACAAGACGAACGTCAGCAACGGAACAATCAAGAGTGAATATTATGAAAAAACAAAGACAAGCAAGACCGATAAATACAAGAAAGTAACGAATGCGTCAGTATGTAAGACTGTAATTGATGTAGTATCTAGTGCCGACGATCTCCGAAGCTTTTTGGGCGTCTTTGATTTTCGATCGTCGATGGGCCTTCTGATCATGAGAAGCCTCTTTCTGTGGGCACGAAAGGCTAAGCAGAGGTTGATCCGTGTTTTCATCCTGATTCGGCTTTACGAATGCTGTTGATCTACGCCGCGCTTCTCCACGCTTCCATCATTTGATCTTTCATTGCTCATTATTAATCACATGGATCTCGCCGAACGATTTATAGGTCCCTCGCGATGTCTTTGGCGAACAGCAGCAGAGATCCTTTAGCACGGATCAGAGGCGTATCGGCAGAAGCGTCTCCTCTCGGCGAAAAACCCCCTCCAACCGCGCAAGACGCGTGCCGGACCTATCCGCACAAAAATTTACCGACGGAGCAACGGAACCTTCCTGGCATTTTCTATCCTCGCTTCTCACCCGAGCAGTTTTCGGCAGGCCTCAGGCCGTCGCGGGTTAAAAAAAGGGATAGCAAACACCGCATCGCCCTTGCCCCCCCCCGGGAGCACGGTAGGCAGCACGCGCGCAGCGCTCGTTACGCAAATGGGCTCGTAACACTCAAGCAGGCACGCCATGCAAGACGGTAAGCCTCGTTTTCAGTTTCTTTATAAGAAAAATCCTCTGTCGGGAGCAATGTGGTGCACAGTCGAGGGGTCTGCTCAATTTGGTAAGCGATTCCACGAAGAGCGCGACGAACCCGCGCCCGCTCGCTCCCCAACACTCCAACGCCGGCAAATGCGGGCGACTACGCTGCCGCGCCAGCTGCTGCTGTGTCCATAGCCGTCGCCGAGTCCATGCGCCCCTGTAGAAGTCCCGGGCGCGTTTTCCGCTTGACTTGTGCTGGGTTCTGGATGGGCGCGGGGACTCATCAGCAGCGGGAGTAGCCGGAAAACTTCACGCAGCAAATGCGGGCGCCGCCGTGCAACGGTTTTCGGCGGCTTTTTCCGGGATAACGAGGGCAGAGAAGAGAATATGCGCGAATGTCTCCAGAATATTCAAGGAATATTAGGAGGCAACTTACTTCATCGAGGAAAGATTTTCTAGCAATTTCCTGAATTTTTGTAAGAATTGCGCCCGGCGCTTCATACCATGCGGCAATCGAGGCGCCGAGGACGCTCGGCGCCTATTTTTGATCTTTCCCCATCGGCATATCCGAAGGCGATGAGACGAAGAGGCGTTTATAATAAAACGATTACTAATTATCATTGCCTTTCTATCATAAGGCGCCCCTTCGCCTCATCGCCTTCGGATACGCCGATGGGGAAAAATCAAAAACAGGCGCCGAGCGTTCTCGGCGCCTCGGTTGCCGCATGGTATGAAGCGCCGAGTGCAATTTTTGGAAAAATTCAAGTTCAAGAAATGGCTTGAAAATCATTCCCCCGCGAAACAAGTTGCCCCCTAATCTTCCTGCAATATTCCCCCGCCCGGTGTTCAGGAATCTAGCCCCGCGCAAGACTTCGGCGGCGGCCTCTTGCGAGCCTGCCGGAGGCTTTCCGAGGCGGCTGCAAAGGGCTCGGCCCGAGCCTCCCAGGCGGTGCCGCAAGGGCTTTCCGAGAAGCTTGGAGAAGGCTCGCCCATGAACCTCGAACGGGCTGCCGCAAAGGTCTCGGGGCAGCTGCTTCAGGAAGGCTCCGCGGGAGCTTGGTTCCGAAGGCTTCACAAAACCGCTCGCCGAGCTTTCCGAGGGCCTCAGTCAGACGCGCCCAAAAGGCTTCGCGAGAGGCATGGCAGACACTTCCCAAGGGCTTCCCCTAGGCTTCGCGAAAGCCTGCGCACTGGTGAAAAGCAGCGCGGGAGCGAGCTGCGAGAATGACTTCAGGAGAGCCCTCAGAAAGACAAAGACGGGCAGCGCACTGCACTCGCCTCCAAACCCACCGCGCGGCGCCCTCGAATCTCAGGAGCGGACCAAGCACGACGAAGACCGAGGCGGACACACTGCGCACGCAGTGCAGCCCGCCACCAGCCACCGCGGCGCGCCCTCGAATCTCCTGGAAGAGAGGAAAACGAGGGGGAAGCAGAAGAGAAGACAAAGGCAACACAGGCGGGACCGTGTCGACCGGGTCAGCACTGAAGAACCACGCGCAGCCAAAGCCGCAGCACCGTCATACCACGCGCCGCCCAGGTCCCTTCCTTTGCCTCTCTTGTTTTTCTCCCCGCTTCTCGCTCCTCAAGATTCGAGGGCGCGCCGCGGTGGCTGCTGGCAGCGGGCTCCCTGCGGTTCAGAAAACCCTGCCAAGAAAAAGGAGAGGGAATAGCAGAGAAGGCGCACACGCTGCGCGCCGCAGCCTGCCCCGTTTGGGTTTCACGCTAAGCGCGAGCCCGGTGAGTTTCGGCCCTGGCTCGAGCTCCGGGCGTGTTCAGGGCTCGCCTGTTTGGTTTGAGGTCGGGCGGGCTTCCGTCGGGTTCGGTCGCGCTTGGCGTGGGTTTGGGTTTGGCTGGAGTTCGGTTGGGGTTTGGTTGGAGTTTGGTTTGGAATTGGTTTGGAATGAGTTTGGAATTTGTTTGCGTTTGGGTCTGGGTTTGAGTTTGGGCCTGAGTCTGGGTCGGAGTCTGGGCCTGAGTTTGGGTTTGAGTTTGCGTAGGGGTGCAGGTTTGGGCTTGCGGCTGAGTTTGGGTCTGGGTTTGAGTTTGGGCCTGCGTTTACGTTTGTGCTTAAGTTTGTGCTTAAGTTTGTGCTTAAGTTTGTGCTTAAGTTTGTGCTTAAGTTTGTGCTTAAGTTTGGGCTTAAGTTTGGGCTTAGCTTTGGGCCTGGGCTTGGTTTGGCTGTGGTTTGCCTCGGGTTTGGGTTTGGTTTGGGTTTGAGTTTGGTTGAGCCCACGCTCTCCCGACTAGATTCCGGGAAGGAAAGGCGGGGGGAGTGTTATTCCTTTCAGTCCTCTCTGATATAGATTCGCAGCCAAATCCATTCCCTCTACCTAGATCATCTCACGAGCCAAAAAAGTTCGGACTTGTTCTGCTTTTTTCTCCTAAAGAGAAAAGGCCCCAAGCTCTAGAGCCCGCCCCCCCTGTCGATTCTGAGCCGAAAAAGCGGAGCGGGGTGCTCTTCTTTTATACATAGCCTCCACCAAAATGAATCCGCTGCCTTGTTTTGTTATCTCGTGGCCATTTGTAGCCGAATAATTATCCTGCACCCACGCACTAGATTCCGCGAGGAATAAGATCAGGCGGCAACGTTAGGCCGCTCCTTTATTTTGGGCGTTTTCGTTTTTTGTTCTTTCAGTTTTCGAGATCGAGCGCCCACTCGAAACCGATACCCGCATGGACTTCGAAACTGTTAAGGGACAACATTCGACGAATTTGAAACCGTTAAGGGACTTGCAAAACGGGCAACGAGTTGGGGAATTTTTTCCCACTCGTGGGGTGCTTTTTTCTTTCTTTAGGCCTTTCGCCTTCGTTGTTTTGGGTTTGAAAAATTTAGAAAGCATGGAACTTCTGTGCCAGTTTCTGGCAGAAAATTCATGAGGAGCGAAACTGATAAGACAATGGAGAAGGCTGCCAGCTTTTCAGTATTTTTGAGACGGTGAAAAGCAGGGCAAACGCGTTGAGCGCTACATTTTTCCAAAGCCGAAGCGCTGCTCGCGTGGTTCATCCTCTTGCGGAATATTCGAGAGTATTTGAATACTTTGGGAATATTTGGGAATATTCGCCGAATGTTTCAAAGTAATTTTTTGAATGCGGGAGTATTTTTCTCCCGAATATTTTGGCTTAAGGCAAAAAACAGGCTCGGGAGTTCATGTCGTGGGGATTTCGGACTCCTCGGGAGCCTCGGGGCATGCTTTTGGAGTTGCCTGTGGAGTTCCTTTCGTGCGGGCATCGAAATGGAGAGGATGTCCAAAGCGTTGCCACTAACAAAAGAAGTTAATAACTTTTATAATCTTTTTAGTATAAACGCGCCGCACATCGTCCCCACTTCGATGCCTGCACAAAAGGAACTCCACAGGCAACTCCAAAAGCATGCCCCGAGGTTCCCGGGGGGTTCGCTATCCCCATGCATGGCATGAACTCCCGAGCAGATTTTTTGCCTTAGGCCACCCTTGCCCGGCGTTTAAAATTCTGGCCCTGCATAAGGAAAACCGCGCACAGCCTCTCGGGCTTTCCGAGGAGCTTGGAGGAGGCTCACCAATGAGCCTCGACCGGGCTGCCGCAAATGTGTCGGGGCGACTCCACAGGGGCCCGCGGTCCCGAAGGAGTCCCTCGCCCGTTCTGGTTTTCTCTCTGTTCTGGCGGAAGTTTGGAGCCGTCTCGAAGTGTCTCCAAAATGACAGACGGACACGCCCCAGATTGGTCAAATTTGGACAATTTCGACCCCTCCCCGGCAAGGCCCTCAGCGGCTTCATTTCGTTGAGGGGAGGCGCCATCCTTCCCCGCTTAACGAAATCGAAACCAACTTCGGCCGCGTGTGGATTCTAGTCGCCAGAGCTCCCCGACCCCAGGCGGGCTCCTGGGCTTGAAGCAGTCTAGCGCCCCGCTGGAGCGTTCTGAAAGACAAAGACGGGCAGCGCACTGCACTCGCCTCATAACCCACCGCCAGCCACCGCGCGGCGCCCTCGAATCTCGGGAGCGAACCAAGCACGAAGAAGACCGAGGCGGACACACTGCGCACGCAGTCCAGTGCAGCCCGCCACCAGCCACCGCCGCGCACCCTCGCAATCTCCTGGAAGAGAGGGAAACGAGTGGGGAACAGAAGAGAAGACAAAGGCAACACAGGCGGGACCGCGTTGACCGTGTCAGCATTGAAGGACCACGCGCAGCCAAAGCCGTAGCACCCATCGCCATACCATGCCCCGCCCAAGTCCCTCCCTTTGCCTCTCTTGTTCTTCTCCCCGCTTCGTTCTCGCTCCTCGGGATTCGAGGGCGCGCTGCGGTGGCTGCTGGCTGCGGGCTCCCTGCGGTTTAGAAAACACAAGAAAAAGAAGAGAGAAGAGCCGAGAAGACGCACGCGCAGCGCGTCGCAGCCTGCCCGGCTCCGGCCCC